GGGTCATACATTGTCATTATTGGAACATATTATATTTATAGTTTATTGTTGGCTTAGTTCTTTTGCACCACAAGGTGGAAGAATGAACGGATGGAATTGGAGGGCTGTACCAGTATGAAACTGACTTAACACACACTGAAACTAATCTTAAGCCCTGTTATGATTGACATGCTGGTGAAACAGTTACTGTCAGGCCTACAGAACTATGGAGGCATTCACAATTATCTACATTTTCTCAAGTGTACAAACAGCACTCTTTTTTATTCGTACCCCCTCCCTTCCCTCTGAAAATATACATAAAATATGTTGATTTTGCAAAACCATTCACCATTTTTGGTATATTACATCCATGGTTGCAATATAATTGGTCATAAAATTCTATTATTTTAAATATTGTATGTTATTTTGAATCAACATTTTCATGCATGTAAAAGTGTACAAATTTGTCTATCCCCTATCCCCACTAGCATACTGTGGAAAATGTTGATAACTGAACAACCCCTAAACATTCACTCTCCTTGGTAAAATTATCCAAACCATTTGACAAGTATACTAACTGAATTGTGGCCAGGGAGAATTCCAGGTTGTTCTTCTAGGATCATGTGGCTACATTTGGATTTATGGGTCAAATCGTAACTAGCACTACAGTACATAATTATGTCTTCTCTCATGGTAAATATACAGAGTCATTCAAAGATAAACAAAATTGAACAGCTAGATAACACTTCCACCTTGACAGCAAACAACTGCCTCTGTGATGACCATAAATGACCTTAGGCATGGGGAAAATCTTAATGATTCATAATTGTTTTGTAAGAGTTGTTTACAGTAGTTTCTTACATAATTATTTACCTTAAAAGTTCTAATATTGATAATAATAATAATAATAATAATAATAATAATAATAATAATAATAATAATAATAATAATAATACTTAGGATGTCATAATTTATATTATTAATTAATGCAATAATATTTGATTGGTACTGTAGTAAGTAGATCAGCATAACCTTGATATTATGAATGACCCCAGAGTGAGTGCAACAAGTGGATACATTTTCAATACATTAGCCATACTGTACTACTCACATTCTTATCTTCATGTTAATAACATTAACTGTATTTCCTATGAAAGTTGGAGGTTATTATATTGAAAAGTGAATGTCATGACAATTAACATCACATATATAGACGCAAACCAAAAAGAAACATGCATATTCTGGTATAATCACCTCATCTTTTTTTGTGTATTCAATAAACTATTGTTAAATTACCTTTTATAAAAATTTATTCAACTAATTTCATGGACATGACTATTTTATCTTTTAATACTTGCATTACTTTTTAACATTTGTTTAATATAACTGTACCACTTTGAAAAACAGTACACAAGTACTAAAAGTGCATGCCAGAAAAAAACAATAAACAAATAAGTAAATAAATTGAAAAAATAATGGTATTTAAGCCTTAAGCCAATGGCTTCCTCTGGCAATTTTAATTTTAATTTTTAATTTATGTGTTGAACATGAACACTTTTAAGAGCATCATTAACACAAAAATTACAATTATACCGTAAATCCATATAATTTTGTAAAGATATTAAATTTTAATTGAAAATCATAACTGACGATGTTTTACGAGAAATGTTCGACAAGTAAAGCCCACCACGAGGGAACATCATTTGCTAAACCAAGCTTTTTCTCAGACCACGGCAAGCAACTTTAAAGATGTTTTTTAATCAGAGACAAATTCTGGCATATGGAAAGTTTAGATGTTTTTCAGGCTATGCGGTAAAAATTGTGGCAGTGAATTTTTCCCCAGTTAAAATGTCTCACATTGACAGATAGTTAAAATTATAAGATATTAAAGATACATGCACACGTTCTACCTGATGATAATGTATGGCAAAATTTCTCTCATCACAAGAAGTAAACCCTCGATCTTGGGATTTATTAAGTACCATCAATCATTGAGAGGATCTGTGACATATGTGGCTTAGAATGCTTACTTTCCGATTCTAAGGTCATAAGTTTAATCAGGTGCATCTAAATACCAAGTGGTTATTTTTTTTTCTTTTAGCAAATGATTTTTATAGAGCATGGACGGCCCTAAAAATTGAATACAAATTTAGGTACCCTGGTACGCTTATGAATCTTCCTGGTGTCAAATCATTATTATTATCAATTAATTCTCTCAACATTACATGCTTATTATATTTACAAAAGTTGTTTTGAACTGGCTTTGGTTGAAGTATTAAGTTGACTTGGTCACTGTATCTTTAGCATCCCTTGTAGCCTACTATATATTTAGGATGACCACAAGAACCAACATGGCTGCAGAAAACTGAGGGTAGGTAGTAGACATTTCATGGGTAGGTGGGTGGACGGCTGATAACATTGGTAAACTCAAATTAGCTTTAGACTGGGTGAAAACTTCAAGGTTGGGTGGTCTGCCATCTCGGCCCATCATAACTACATACCTGGACGTCGGAACAACTTTTTCTTGTATACTGTATAAGTTATGTACGTAAAATCATTGGAATGAAATACCGTATAGATGTTTACACAATGCACATGATAAATGATATATATACTATTATTATCAATTAACAACATATTTACATTCAATAGAAAGCAGAGCCTATAATAATCAAGCCTATTATAGATTATTTTTTGAATGAACTGATGTACTGTGCAGTAGGCAGATTTGTACAGTACTGTATACAAAGAACTGTATATCCTCCATCTGTTTGGCTACAGTTTGAAGGAAGCAGTTACTCTATACCTAGAAAGTGCATTATTTATTAAGGTAAAATTAATGCAATTTCTTTCTCCTACTAGCTTTCTGAGGTCCACCATTTTCAACTATTGCCATTATTAGTGATTCAGCACATTTAAATTTCATTGATAGTTGCACTATGGTCAGTAATTAAAAAGATTGAATAAATAATCATGTGAAGTGTTGGCTACCAAAATTTTAATTTGTTTAAAATTACAGAGCTGGTAAAAATAATTTATTTGCATCAAAACTGTTAAACTAGAGTCAATGTAAACTGGAGTATAGACAATGCAATAGAATACCAATTCATACATAAGACTGATAATAGTAAATTAAGGACAAACTGTTCAAAACTTGTTTGAAGACAAAACTTGACAAAATTACCTATGCCAGGTCATAACTGTTTATACATTTGTTTGAATTCTTTTCGCCATTTTGTTGGGACTTACACAAAAAAGTATTATATGTTCAAAAATAAACTGTTACAAAAATTTTAGTCTATCATTTATGGTACAATATTTCATCATTACAATAATTTTAATTTTGAAAGATCATCTTATTAAACCACAGAAATGTTCTTGAGATTGTAAATGTCTACTAACGTAGATTGCTGCATATATGAGAAGATTTTGTTACATTATATACAGTAACTTCTAATAATAACCCATACTCTATTAGAAACCCACTCCTAACACCATACTGTAGAAATTGATGTATAATAACCCACTACTCTAATAATAACCAATGGGATTATTATTAAAGTCATGACATTCAAATCAACATTTTTCTCGCTTTAACACAATTTATTCCTTAAAATAGACATTTTTCACAATGTGATTGTGGCGTAGATCATTCTTTCTTACTCCTAGGTGGTTTTGAGTTAAATAAATAAAATAAAACGTTTTTTTTTTACTCATACTGTTTTATTTATTTCTATGAATTACTGATGTGAAAAAAAGTGGGTGGGGGTTAACTTAATAGTAACCCAACCTAAAAAGACAATCAAAGAATAGTATTACCCAGGGTTATTATTAGAAGATTTTTTTACATGCAGGTCCATATCTCCATCTATCCAAAATCATTAGCATCCTGAGATAGCCAAACAGAGGCTAAAGTTGTAAGTAAAACATGCTTGCTATGTACAGAATGAAACACTGCATTGGCTAAGGTAACAATGCCTGCAAATACAGTAAGTGCAAAACATCATTGATTAAATATGCCAGAATGCTGCCAGACAGAAGTATAAATTAATAAGGTAGTAGTAGGCCTGCTACCAGAGCATGCTGTCAGTAGTATCTCATTAAACCAATTCAAAGCAAACTACGACCGACACATTCTAACTCCCTGCCTCCTTACAACAATCACTAAGGTAAGAATCACTAAGGTAAGAATGTGCGACTGTACAAGTGCCATGAATAAATAAATTTCAAAACATCTGAGCAAATTTTCTTCTCATAATTGGTTGTAACCTCGCCTACGCCTGGTAGATGGTTAAATGATCGTCTTGTTTTTAGATTTAATAAAACATTTACATCTTACATCCTGCAAGTTTGATGCAGAGCTCGACAAAAACATCTGTTAAAGTCGGGAAATGACAGTCCAGACTAGGGACAGTATTCATTTGACATTTTGATGAAATTTATGCTGAAAAAAAAAAAAAACATTGCTTCCCAAACCTAGCATAGGCTTTGACTTCTGCATATTGGTTACAAACAAGGGTTTGACATAACACACTAGGCCTAGAGTAGCCTAGGTATATGTCTAACTAGTCTAAGGCCATGCCTAGGCTAGGGTCTATCTAGGCCTAGTAGTAGTAGTACAAGTAGTAAAAGTCTAAACAAACAATACGGTCTGTTTAAAAATGTTTGTCGTTTTCTCATCAATTAGCCTATCTCCTAATCAAAATATGCAATGAAAATAAAATTATACAGGCCTAGGCCTAAGCCCTAATGGGGCACCTGGTCGGCAAATGCCTACATCTGAATTCATCTTAGCCATTGCGATTTCTGTTTTTGCCGTAATTGTTTTTAATTATAATATTTCTAGGCCAGTTCGAATGCTAGGCGATTGTGTAGCTCATGCGGCAAAATGGCCCTCGCTCTCCCGGCTACAGCTGTTTGTAACACAACCCGCAAGCGGCGAAGTACTCTAGCCAAATAAACTATTTTATTACACTAATTACCAGGCATCGATATCATTCAAACTGCTCCGTTCTACTAACCTTCTCTTGCTTTCAAATACACTGTATTTGCAACAATATTTTCTAACTCCATGGGTGTTTTTTATAGTCCACTAAGCACCGAAATGGTGTAGAAACACATATCAGAGAGGCCAACTTCGTGGTTGAACAGAATCACGATCGTCGATTAGCCTCTAAATAGTGCGTGCAGGGTGTGGTAAATTTTACTTCCCCCTCCATCACAACATAGGGCAATATGGGAGGTAGTTCAGGCTGTATCAATTATCAAGTGAAGAGGACGTGGTCACTGCAGATAATGATACACTCTTTTCACAAAAATAACCCTTTATTTTCAGGTTTTTAATTCATAATAATTATAGTTATTAAGAACTTTTAGGGAAAATGTATTTTTTAAACGTCAAACTAATTGTATAAGTACCTCTTATAAACAATTCCCCTGCACAATTATTGAAACATTCCAAGCTGAGGTCAAATGTTCCAGGAACGTCACTCGCAGATATAAACTACAGAGGGCGCTAATTATGTATAGTGTAGTAGGCCTACAGTAACTCTAAATTAATGAGTCATATTCTGATCCATGAAGTTGTATATCTTGCCTTAGTATTGAGCTAATACAGTTAGAACCCCTCCTTTGGGACACCCCTATTCAGGGGAAACTTTTTCGTGAAACGAGGGACAATATATCTTTTAACAATACACCCAACCCATATTAAGGGTACACCCCTATTAAGGGGATGGGGACACTTTCTGAGAGTGCAAATGGTCCGAATCAATACAATTTAACCCCTATTAAGGGGACACTTTTTTTGTTGTATAAAAACAACTACAGTAGTCTCATAATAAGAAAAATAATCTTTCAAATCTATATTTTACAACTTTTGAGCAATAAACTTTAACACCAAACCAGAATTTTTCCTTTTCAATCTTTAGAATGTGTTACTGCATATAAACACAATCTTCTGTGTATATTCACATACCAGTACTGTAGGCTAATGTACCGTACAGCTGCACCCTTACTTCTACTGAATTCGTTACTCATGCTATTCTATCTTGTACATCTAATAAAAAGCTCAATATTTGAAGAAAAAAAATTAAAAAAAAAAATTGTTCATCAATATAACACCCGGATCAATAAATAGATAATATCGGGAACAGGATTAGGCCTACCCACTATTTTCTTCCTCCATGGCCTATACAACTTTTGTAGTTTTAATTACATATCAGTTGATTTCCTATCATAAATGATTTATTTTTTGCATTGCAAATTATTGTTATAAATTAGTTAGAATTCAACTTTAACTCATTCTTAGGTCAATTAAAATAAAATTATAAAGAATCTATATCATCATTGTAACGAGAACATGCCAAAAACCCTTATTAAGGGGACAATTTCACGTTTTTGGTTAGTGTCCCCTGAATAGGTGTACCCCTATTCAGGAGACATACCTATTAAAGGGACAATTTTTTTGGTCCCAAAGGTGTCCCCTTAATAGGGGTTCTACTGTAATAATGATTTCAATTTAATTTAATTTTAATTTCTATGTGCTTTTAATATTGTTTAAAATAAATTTGCGTTTGTGCTATATAGAGAGTAGCTCTGACATGCCTCCTACTAGTGATGTATTTTAGAAGGTGCATACAATTATTTCAATTTAATTTTATAACATATATTAAAGAAATACAATTAATTCGTTTTCATCATCATCATCATCATCATCATTGTCATCATCATCCCCTTTGTCCCCTCATGTGGGGACGGGTGGTCTCATTCGTCCTCCATCTGGCGCGATCCATGACTGCTTCTAGGTCCACCAATCTTCCATCTTGTCTGATGCAGTCCATCCATCTCTTTCTGGTAAACAGGATAAAAGACAACACAAAAATATCACAGATTAATACTTAAACTATTATTTATAAATAAATATCAAATATATAACCCACAGACCTGCTTATTTAAACTGTAAATTAAATTAAATATAATAATAGTAGGGCATATTACCTCTATAGACTTTACACGAAACTTATATAAGAGAAGAATGAGAGAATAATGATAAAAATAACAATAATATAGCTAAACTATTCCTAATATAAATACTTGGCCTTTTTAATATGTTCAGATGATAGTTATTCTCTGGGCCTTATTTATGTGTAGAAATAAATCCCGACTACGGTCGGCCTATGATTTATTATTTTGCAGACAGCAGATACATATAGGCCTACACATATCACATTAATAGTAGCACACTCCAGGAAATTAATTCTTAAGTTGAACGGACTACTAACATTAAGTATTCTGGATGCCGTGTGTTATCAAAGTTAATAATGGTAATTATTGAAAAGATCGATTAAGTGATTATTCAATCAAACAACCAACCAGCAAACAGTCTGTCAAACCAACCGTCAATCAATCAATCAATCAATCAATCAATCAATCAATCAATCAATCAATCAATCAATCAATCAATCCATAAATCAATCAATCAATCAATCAATCAATTAATCAACGAATATTATTAGACTTAATTAAAATTAAACTTTATTTGTCTATAAAGGAAAGAGCAATGAGTACATTTCATGCAGTTACATGACTGCGTTACAATGTACGGTAGTTTTTAATGTAATTTGATATCAATGCTGATCCAAATTATCATGTCAATGACATGATATACAGTCATTGTTATGTAAAGCATGCAAAAGAGAATGTTCAGAATCTCACTCATTATTTCTTCCAAAAAGAGCTTTTAACTTTTGTCCGTTTTTATATTAATAATTATTAAATTTCAGACTAATTGTAGTACAAACCAATCAAGTATATATTGCAATTACTAATTCGTTTGTACTGATTAACGATCCGTTTGTCGGATTGCAAATTACTAACATTAAACTCCATCTAGTAACAGTACACACACAAGTCACGATTCGTTGCTAGGTGTTTTCCAAATATCTGAATACGTTGGAGCAGGTTGCAGCTAGTAACAATCAAATAATCCAATAACTTCTACAGACATCATCATTACAATCATGATACACAGTCAAATTACACAGAAAATTTTACATAAACCGAGAATTATGAGCGTATACAATGATAGGCCTATGATCCGTTTTTTAGGTGCAGTGTACAGGGTTTACGCATGCCTTCCGGTGATGTTATTGTACCTTGTTGTTTACAGCATAGGCTTATAGGCCTACTTTATTCCATGTTTATAGCTGCATCTTCTTGATTGTTTCTTATCAACATTAAATGTCAATGATGTTTAATTCCATCCTAATTATTATTCCCGTTACTCTTCATCTGTTTATAGTAAGCTCTGATTTTGTCATTAGATGTATGTCACATTTACCCGCACCTTCGTATTATTTACAATCATTTACATCAGTGGTCTTTAGTGTGAATATCAATGCCATGACGGTACCACATCCAATAGGCCGAAATAATTGATCAGATAGGTGTAGGCCTACCTTAAAACGCACTTAAATAATATAAACTTGCCGCTCTTCGCATATAATTCGGATTTGTTCTGACTTAAGTGCTGCTAATTAGCATTAAAGCCAACCGGCGGCAAATAAATCTGTTTTATACCCGGCCATGAACAATCGTATTTGTTACAGGCGCCCAATAGAAATATACAATAAACGTAGTCATTAAAGTCAGGCTCCGGAGGAAAAAAATTTTTTGATATGTTGTAGAACTGGTTTTTCTAAGACAGAAAAAAGTTGTTTGACGAAAAACTGGGGAACGGTGAATCAGATACAGATTTTTTAATATTTAAAAACTGGGGGGAAAAAGGGGCGTAACTGCCCATTTTTACACCTTATTCCCCCAGTTTTTAACATGAATATGTAAAATAAGAAATGTGTGACTATTTTGTTAATCTTCATATACTCTAGTGTGTTTTAATATTTTATTTATTTTTTTATCAATTACTTAAATTTTTTTTTCGTTTTAACGATTTTATCTTTTTATTTCTTCGTCTATTGTTTAATAGCTTTTATTAATTTTATCATAAATTTTATGAATTATATAATTAATTTTATAAATTTTATTAGTCTTACCTTTGTTTCTTTAACTCTCGGTTGCATTTGTCTTTTGTGTACTTGTGAATTTGTGTTTTTATAAGCTTCAATAATTTTACTACATCCAAGTCTTAATATGTTATTTACTTTTTAACATTTTGAAAGTTTTATTTGTAAATTTATTTGATGATTTAATAATAGTAGTAAATACGATTTTACCGTTTTCCTATAATTATGACGTCATTTGATTTGATTTGTGAAATAATTTTGTTATGGTATAGGGGC